ATTGTTATCATAACTTATTATTATAAAACATAACAAAAATGAATGGTTTGGATTCATCGCCGGTACAGAATGTACAGAACGGTAGTCTTCATAACAGCAACTCATCGGTCCAGTCGTTGGGCGCCGCCGAGGACTCCAAGACTAATCTTATCGTCAATTATTTGCCCCAAACGATGACACAGGAAGAGATCCGAAGCCTATTCTCATCGATCGGTGAAGTCGAGTCGTGTAAACTGATTCGCGATAAAGTCACCGGTAATTCAAGTATAAAATCAATTTTTTATTTTTTCTGTTATACACATTTATTTTTAACTTATATTAATAATTATTTATATTTACATTTATACTTTAGATATAATTATTTATGTTTAATGCTATTATATAATCTAATGCACAGGAAATGTAGAATTATAATTCTAGTTTAATTTAAAGAATCTAAAATATTTGTTGTAAATTTTGAAGGAAGTTAATGTGTGTTTATTTTTGTTTGAATTTATTTTTAGGCCAAAGCTTAGGATACGGTTTTGTAAACTATGTGCGACCAGAAGATGCCGACAAAGCCATCACTACATTGAATGGACTCCGGCTTCAGAACAAGACAATAAAGGTTTCCATCAATACATTTATTTATATCTATTAATTCGTTTTATATAGAAAATCATTTCCATATTTTACATTACATTTTTATTTATTGAATGGGAATAAGTTTTTTTGCCAATGAATGAATGAAAAGCCGTTGACGGACTGCCCGCTCTGTAAAATCAATGTTTAGTCATAACGGTTGCAAACAATTGTCTATACGTTCACAATGGGATTGGGAAAGGCATAGACTGTTGTGCAGCTGCGATAGGATTTATGGCGAGACTGACATAACTAACCATTACTACGATATTGATAAAAACAAGGTTGCACGCGACACGATATGTTTCGTTCACAATGGGATTGGGAAAGGCATAGACTGTTGTGCAGCTGCGATAGGATTTATGGCGAGACTGACATAACTAACCATTACTACGATATTGATAAAAACAAGGTTGCACGCGACACGATATGTTCACCCCCAATGCAGGGCAATATTTTTTAAAATTGCCACCGAGATCTGGTGATGCACTTTCTTATGTCATCAGTATTGCATATACATTTAACATTAAGATATTAACTTAATTGATAGAGCCTAAGATTATATTGACAATAAAAATTACATTGTTTATAGCTTTAGCATTTGTCATAGAGTTAAATTTTTAATGAGCTTCTCTCTCTCTTTCTCTCTCTCTCTCTCTCTCTCTCTCTCTCAAAGGATTATAAATTATTAAAATAATGTAAATTTTAAATATCATCATAATTTGACCAAATAATATAACCAAATATAATTATAATTTGAATTGCTTAAAGACCGGTACAACCTACCGGTATAAATAATCGATTAAAAGTAGTGTTTCCTATTTTTAGAAAAATACGAATTAATTTAGTCAATAATTTATTTTTCGTTAAAACATTATTATATTTTTAAAACAATTTGCTTTGATTTGTTTAATTATAGCAACTTTTACATATTTTGTGCACTTCAAAAAATGTATCAATATTTGCAAATACAGTACATAATTTCAAGTGTTTATCATATTTTATATAAATATCGCATGGTATTTTTAGCAATCAAATTTGCAATTTTAATGCAATAAGTTAGAGCGGCATTTGTGGTCATCTATTTGTCTATTAGTCATACTGATTGACATTATGGCCATATTATCAGCTGAGGTGGGGTGGGATGAGATTGGATTCATTTATAAAATACAATTTTCATTTTGAATTGCGGCTAATAATTAGGTTTTGATGATATTTTTGGGAAATCGTGCTAGATGAGAATAAATTAAACGATAAATGAATGGGCAATTGTGGTCGAGCACTGGTAGGTCTGCTAACTATTTAGCGAATAATACAGTTATGTATTTGTGTGAGGCATTAGTGAATTGCGTTTATATACATCGCTATCATTGATATAATCGCACAATTGAGTGACATTTGTATGACTGAAAGCGGGTCCACACAAAAACAACTCAACTAACATATGATGTCCACCAACTCTGTAGGTGTCGTTCGCGCGGCCGAGCAGTGAAGCGATCAAAGGGGCGAACCTCTATGTGAGCGGTATTCCCAAAGCTATGACCCAACAGGAGTTGGAGGCGCTGTTCTCTCCGTACGGACGTATCATCACATCTCGTATTCTCTGTGATAACATCACAGGTAATGCCTAACCATCTGTTCACTCCATATGCACACCAATTATATGATATATAATTTTTGTTATCTTAACATAACAGTACTCTTACTCGAATACACTTATGATTATAGCCATTAATGTATTGTTTTTGTTTCACAATTAATTTTTTACTCTCATTTCATATCATACCTTCTTTTGGCATAGAGTTATAACGTATATTTAAATGAATTGAAAATTAATTATAAATAACTTTTGCATTTAAAAAGTTGATGTATGGGTTTGGCATTGAATTAACGCAACTTTCTTTTTTTCGTGTCAAAAAAAGACAAAATATTTTGTCTAAAGTTATAAACAGAATATTCAGGAAATATAAAGTATTGTATACAAAGAATATACGATTGAATGAATATATGATTTTATAATTTGAATTTGTGTTGTTTTTTGATAATTAGTATTTGGTTTTTGATTTGTCTTATCCTATAGATCGTGCCCTCTATGCTGAAGTCTGTTCGTCTACAGGTCTGTCCAAAGGAGTAGGTTTTGTGCGATACGACCAACGCGTTGAGGCCGAGCGGGCGATCAAGCATTTGCACAATACCATACCCGAGGGCTCGACCGAACCCATAACCGTCAAATTCGCCAATAATCCCAGTAATAATGCAAAAGCGTTGGCGCCGTTGGCCGCCTACCTGTCACCGCAGCGCCGCTTCGCCGGTCCCATTCACCACCCGGCAAATCGGTTCAGGTACATACCTATGTCACCGGTCTCCAGGTATGGGTATGAACACTATCACATACACATAAAAACTTATTCCCATTCAATAAATAAAAATGTAATGTAAAATATGGAAATGATTTTCTATATAAAACGAATTAATAGATATAAATAAATGTATTGATGGAAACCTTTATTGTCTTGTTCTGAAGCCTGAGTCCATTCAATGTAGTGATGGCTTTGTCGGCATCTTCTGGTCGCACATAGTTTACAAAACCGTATCCTAAGCTTTGGCCTAAAAATAAATTTCAACAAAAATAAACACACATTAACTTCCTTCAAAATTTACAACAAATATTTTAGATTCTTTAAATTAAACTAGATTTAAAATTCTACATTTCCTATGCATTACATTATATAATAGCATTAAACATAAATAATTATATATAAAGTATAAATGTCAATATAAATAATTATAAATATAAGTTAAAAATAAATGTGTATTGATATAACAGAAAAAATAAAAAATTGATTTTATACTTGAATTACCGGTGACTTTATCGCGAATCAGTTTACACGACTCGACTTCACCGATCGATGAGAATAGGCTTCGGATCTCTTCCTGTGTCATCGTTTGGGGCAAATAATTGACGATAAGATTAGTCTTGGAGTCCTCGGCGGCGCCCAACGACTGGACCGATGAGTTGCTGTTATGAAGACTACCGTTCTGTACATTCTGTACCGGCGATGAATCCAAACCATTCATTTTTGTTATGTTTTATAATAATAAGTTATGATAACAATTATTACACAAATATTATAATCAAATACACAAAGAGTGAGTGAAGTATTTGGAAACACAAATAAAAATATATATCAAGTTCTCGCTCTCAGGTCTTCTTTCACGTATGACTTAATAGTAATGTTAAGTCAAAACTGAAAACTCAAATATCGATAACTAAAAGGAGAGCAGAAAAGCTTAGAAACAATAAAATTATATTCCAATGGAATGGATGAATAAGACAGCGAAACACAATGAAATGGATGCACAGCTTCCCGACCCTACTATTAGTGGCACCGACACCACCAAAAACCTACCACCGCTGCCATCGCAACCAAAACGCACGTAACGCGCATTCGCCACGAGATCTACCAGTCTTTCATACAATATATACTGTATATACCATTTCACACAATCATTACCAGTCCTTCCAGTGCTCAATGCTCTCAGGATATGGGCATCGATGTGGATGTGCTGCGCCTGACTATACCATCCACCATAAGCATCACACTCTCCCTTACTCTCTCTCTCTCTCTCTCTCTCTCTCTCTCTCTCTCTGCCATCACACCCGTTACAGTCAACCACCCGGTATTGTGTACACTATATGCACAACATATAGCACACAGACAGTCGTTATATCATCCCTGTTATACTTATTACAGCGCAAAACACATACCAGTGCTCTGATGGCAGTGAAGCGCATATATATTACTCGTCAGAATATATACAGTATATAGAGAACAGTGTTGTGTCTCTGCGATAGTCTTCACACAATTACTCTAAACTCACTCCTAATGTCATCTATTCTTTGCTCGCATTTTGCTTTTCACATAATTTTAATTTTTTAGATTTCTTTTCACTAAAAAACTCCATCTATTTTTTCAATCACCAATTTTTGTGTTTCCGTTTATATTCCGCTATTTTTTCATTTTAATTTTAGTAATTTTTTGGTAAATTTGTTTGAAAAGTGGTACCAAAATGTATAAATAAAATTTATTTTTATCTCAAAAACTTTATATAATAAATAAGAATGTAATTCATAGTTTTGCGAACAAAAACAGATCGATTTTGTTGGCGCACAGCATATATAGAGCTGGCAATGGTTCTGGTAGTGGTGGTACTGGCACTGGCACTGGCATAGACATCGGCACAGGCACGAGCATTGGCACATTGGCACTAGTACAGTTTATACCAGTAGTATAACCATACTGTTCACTCTATAGTATAATACACAAAGTGAAAGCCGACTAAAGCACTAACTATTTTGCATATCATAACACCAACACTAACACTAATACGATATATACAACTCTTATATATATTAGTTTATATACAGTATATATAGTATATTATATACAGCCAGCTGTACGAGAATAAGAGCGAGAATGAGAGAGAGAGAGAGAGAGAGAGAGAGAGAGAGAGAGAGAGAGA